AAGAATTGCAAAAAAAACATACATAAAGAGAGTTTTGAGTTAGGTCGGCTCGGTTTTGGAATGAAACTTAATTTAAAAAGTCTTGCAATTGTGATTAAATTTGCGATAAAAAGTAGGATTTGGTTCAAAGTGCACATCGTAAATAAATACAGAAGCGTAAAGATTTGAAAGAAGACTGAAACTAATACAAGAACACAACATGTACAACAGGTACAAAACGTTTCTATAAAAAAACTGTTCATTTTGGTTTTGGCAGAGGAAATTATCTTAAAACTAATTACAGCCTTTGCGATTTAATAACTGCTCCGACTCAAACTGCGATTTCGTCTGGACTCTGATATCTCGTGCTGTCCTATTTTGAGCGCGTACAGTGAGTGAGTACGACGTTCAGTGGCTATACCATATGGTCCCAGACTGTTGTCCGTGTTCGAGAGCCAGACCCAGGGAGGAGCGAGGAGCGAGCGGCAGCAGCAGCAGCGGGCCCCAACAGGCAGCTGAGAGGGGAGCCCAAGACACGACAGCAAAACCACACTACAGTAATTATATATCAAAGCCCTTCAGAGTCAATAGGCCTAAATGGAATATGAAGGGAATGACTTGGACCGCAAAGTGACAGCGAAGAAGTAAGAGAATATTGGGCTGTAGTCAACACTTAAAGTAGAGGAGGGCATGGGCGATATATCTATTTAAGTAAGAGATTCAAAGCGCACAACAAGAGCAGCTTTTGGACAGCTCTCTTTCGCTTATCGAGAGGTCAAACACGAGAGCTTTCAACACTGGCAGCATTTTCTAAAGCTTTAAAACAGCGGTTGTTCAATGGCCAAATATGTCACTATGTTTAACTAAATCACATTTTCTTTTATATTGAGGGGTTTGTTTGTTTGTTTTATTTAGATCCTCATTAGCTACTGAAAAACAGCAACTATTCTTCCTGGGGTCGGTGACAGTCTATAAATGCATTTTTTCTACAGGAAAACAGGATGTACATGCACCACATTCGCACAAACAATGAAAGATAACAAAAGACAACAAAAATATACAAATAATCATAATAAACAATGCATTGGGTTGTTGGTTTAACTCTTAAACTCTTGACTTTGAACTTCAAATGAACTGTTTTAAATTCATTTGTATGTATAGTGAGTAGGGGTGTAACGATATCCAAGTCTCACGATACGATATCGTCACGGTTTGAACCTTAGTACGATATTTACTGCGATATTGTGGGACAGCTCACGATATGGTGGACAGGATCATGATTAGGGATGTAACAATATCCAAATCTCTTACAATATTTACACAATATTTTCACGATATACATCTCACGGTATGATATTGTTGCGATGTTTTGTGGAGGCTGTGAACAAAACTGCCGAACGAAGACTTAAAAGTGTTAGAACTGTTATTTCTTCTTGTAGTCTGCACTGAAATGGAGCAAAGGATCATGGTCTATGTAGTTCCCTCTGTCTTTTTTTTAGCTGTTGCTGCACCATAACTCTTAATTTAAGCAAATAGACTTGTAATTTGATATATTGTGATGGTCCATACTATTGTGAGAACTTTGACGATACGATATCACTTTCGATTAATGTCCTTAATAGTGAGTGTGTCGTATGTACAGTGAGTGTGCTAGTTTTATGTACTTTTGTGCGATTTTTGTTGTACTTTTCTCTGTCCTGTTGATGATTTCACGTCAACCTGCCGAGGGACTGAAGATGGAAATTAGTCACACTTTTTACTGTTCATTAATATGTGCTGTTCCTTTATAAATAAATAAATAAGAATAAGAAAAGTTGAACTATGGTACTTTTCTCGTGGAGGGTCGGTTATTGCTTGGAATGAGCTCATTTACACGTTATATCTGTGGAGAGTTGAGCCTGCGCACTTTAAGACTACATGTATTTCAAGTTATTTTCTATGAGTAAAAATGCAAAATAGAAAGTTTAATGCTATAGAGTGGAACATTTCGAAAGCAATAACATCTCCATGGAGACAATGAGAACTTTTTCAGTGCGCCTTAAGTACTACAAGTTATAGTCCTTTCACATTTGAGCAGCAGTGCCTGAACCGTAACTTGAACAAACCCACATTTCAGCGATTTGAATAGCTGGAAACTCTATCATCGGACTAATGTCATTTGTGTAAAACCAAAACATACTGAGAAAATGACTTGATCTCTTTTGCGTCAAGTTAAAACAAGCCATGTATTGGATAATCTCTAAAAAAAAAAACTATGCTTCTAGACTCTGTGTGTGTTGTAATCTCATTCTATTACCCCCATTATTCATTAATGTGAGCGTTCGACATCATTAATTTCCCCAGTCTCGCCCCTATCAGATCTCTCCCACCCACTGCAGCTCCACGCTCTGGTCTAAGCAGGTGCCAACAGAAAATAAAGTCATAAATTTAGACTGTCTGAGGCCTTGGTCCGGTGGCGTTAGGCTTTGTGTGTGTGAGTATGTGTGTGAGAGTGTGTGTGTGGTTGTCACTATAGGCAGCCAGGGCACTTCATGCATGACCTCACTGTGAAAATGTGCACCTCAAAAGCGAGTGTTTGTCTACGGGACAAATAAAAAGCGTCAAAGTCCTTGAACCAGAACACAGCCACTGTAATTATTGTAAAAGTTTTTTGTCAGGAAACTGCAAGAATGGATGTGGAATTAACAAACAGGTCAAATATATCGCAATAGAGAACTAAAAATAACTCAAAATTGTTCGGTTAACTGATTTTATAATGTACTCGGGTCAAAGCTTAATCTTAATAACAAAAAAATTTGAAGTGCGTCAATTTCCAAAGCAATATTATGCAATTTCAATTTGATCTATAGTCCAAACAAGATTTTTATGTCTGTTTAAGTCGCATTAATTTAACTTTGTCTTTGGTTTCAGAAAGCTGGTCACATACTGGAGAATGCTGAATGTCCGTGAAAGTGAATCAATGATTTCACGGTGTCAAAAATCGAGAATTAAAACCAATATTTCATCTCACAATGTTTGCAACTCTAAGAAAATGATATCAGAAGCACCTAAACTAATGTAAATCTCGACTTTTGTTATGTTGATAGTATAAAATTTGTAATATTTAGGGTAAAAACGCACTTCATCCCTGTGTCTTTTCTAATAGGACATGATTCACAGTCTGTCCTAACTCAAAAAATGAGCACTAAAACTTTCCTGCGCGGTGAATGCTTAGACCGGCTGTTTCTCCCAGATAAAGTCTACGTTTGTTACTACAGCTCTCATAAAGCAATGCCTTCTCCACAAAAACCAAGGACACGTTTATTTCAGGCTATGAAAAAAATCAATAAAATGCCCGTTTCAGAATTGGATACTAAAAATTATTAGTAATGCGGTAAAAATGAGATAGTAGCTTGACAGAAATGACTTGCAAAAAGTTTGTAGTGTTGTGGGTGAAGGGCAGGGTACGATGCAGACTGGGAAACTTGCTTGGGTGCTGCAAAAGGAAGCTCTTTGTCACAAGAAATACAGAAAATCTTGCTCTGTTATGCTCGATTTTGACTAGAGTTTTTGTGAATGTCGTGTTTTACGTATGTGGGTCAAAACTTAGAACCACAGTCACCTCACTACATACACTAATAACTTAAGTGCAAGCCGATCGTCGCTACAACTACTCATTTATTGCCCTGAACCCAACATTAAGAGTCTTGTCTTTTTAATTAATTCAAATAAACTTCTTTATCTAATTTCGCAAGGACACAGTTAAACTAATTTGCGGAATAAAGTAGATTACAGACGAGTACACAGTTTCAAACTTCCCACACAAGTTTACATCTGTGCCAATTAACCGAATTAAGGAATAATTTGGAGAGCTAATCCATAAAGTGATTTAGTGATGTTACTTTAGGAAGATTTAGACTTTAATTATAACCAAAAGGCAATAGATTAACGTATTATATGTATTTTACTATTAATTAATTCATAAGTAGACGGTGGTATCCAAATAAAACGCTAAAAAATCGAAGTTGCCAGCAGGCTGTGGTGACATATGGGATTTTTAGCTAACTTTGACCTAAAAAGACACGGTCATTAGCGACAGGGTTTCACAGTTAAAACTTTGTAATGTAAATGAACGGGATAATGTTAGTGTGGTCAGCTCAAAAGGACGTTAAGCGGTTTTGTAGAGGGTTTTGTTCCCCCTTAGACCAACACTTTGTCTTGCAGATGTTATTTCTTCCAACGCGCTCGAGCTATTAGGCCTGGCGATCCCATAGAAAATGAATGGGGGAACAAAAAAACGACTTTTACGCACGGGAAATCGGGGACATAGCGGTGAAATTTGTGAGTAAAATGAAATAATACGCTCGTTTTTATATCTTAAACTAAAAGAATTCAGTGTTTATAATCACTTAAAGGTGGTGTGAGTGACTTGAAGGTGCAGTATGCTCAGTGTCCAACAGAGATCAGTGCGCAACGCAAAAACGGAGCATGTGTGGCCGTATTCTCCGCCAGCTTCATATTATACCCGGGGGCAATACTTAAAAAATACATACAAACAGCGATCAGATTGCACGGTGAAACAGGATGCAACCACACAAAACGTGCCACAATGGGAATTACAGAGGCATTGAAATAAAGGGTGTAAAATGACATGCAATCCAGCCAAGAAAGAGCCACGGTCCCCCATAATTTACGAGCTATTGTTAATTTGTTTAATATGTTAGTTTACGATGAACTATAAGCGTAATGGGTGCACTTAATTATGGATTTGGAAGCCTGTGTTAATTAATTTAATCTGGAGAATGGTGTTTTAAGACTTTGGCAACGTATAAATTAAGAAAAAATGACTACTTGAATGAGAATTGAGTAGAAATTTCGTGTTATTATGATATGTTTGCGTATTTTTGTTGCTGGTTTAGAATAATTATAGACTTTTTCCGTTTAATTTCAAGTGTTGCTTTTATGAAACAAACGTAAAAGACGATAAAGAGCGTTTTTGACAGCTTTTTTGGTGTTATAAATGTGTACAATTTTTTCCATACCTGTACCACTCCAGTCCGTTCTCGTAGTTGCGGTCGAAGAAGTGCGGCTCAGCTCCCACGGCTCTGATGTCAGGGTGCACCCGCAGAAACTCCAGCAAAGCCCGGGTACCTCCTTTCTTCACCCCGATGATGATGGCCTGGGGCAGCTTCTTGCTCCCGGCCCCGGAGGAGAAGCTGGACATCGCGCTCGGCTCCGCGGCCCCTCTCGCCCCCAAACCCCCTAAGATCCTCGGCTCGTCCCAGTCCTCAGTCCGATCAGTGTCCAGGAGATCTCTGGATGCTGTCCGTATTGATGGCTCCTCATAGTCCGACTCAATATCCTCCCAGGGTTGAGGTTTGGCTAAAAGTCTGGAGACAAGACCCCCGCTCTCTGTCCCCCTCTTGCCCAGCGACGCGCTCTCCTTGCCCCGATAACTGTCCACCACCAAACTTGGCATGGTGGAACAGTAGCCCACACAGGAGTACAGCATGTAAACCCAAATTAAAAACATGATGCTGAGCAAAAGTAGCTTCTTCTTCACGGGGCTCGACCAGAAGCTGTGGCAAACCGGGCTATATTCCATAAATCTCCCGGTGTAAAAGCATTTCCCAGCGGCGCATGTTGCCCTCCTCACTCCCGGTGGCACCTCTGCGATCCAGGCGAGCCAAGACACATGCTCGCTTCCAATCAAAAAACACTAACAAAAATGAATAAAACTAAATTAAATAAACACCTTCTGAGATAACCAATATATCCACGCACGAGAAGATAAATTGTTAAGCATAGTTATGGCTCAGAAAGTGTCCGGGTGCCATTGACAAACCGCTGTGCTGCTGCGCGCTCGTCTCGCGTTTGATGGAGAAACGGTGGCGCGCCTGTCCTTATAGAGTGCGGGGCGGGAGACGGGCAGCGGCGGCGGCCAATCAGAACGCGCGGAATCGGTTTGTTGACAGAAGTGGACCAATGGGAGGGGAGAGGGGGCGGTGCGAGCCGTGGGAGCGTCACTATGGAGATGGAGCGCGTGCGGGGCGCTGCTGAGAGTTTGGGAAAGTTTCTCATTGGACGGAGAGGATAATTAAGTGCAGTTTGCTGAAGCGTGGCGCCATTATTTTGTTCAAATAATTATATATAACGTATTTAAAGTATTTATCGGACTGTTCTCCTGTGTTTTTCGTGGAAAAAGTAGCCTAAAAAAGCGAAATTACACACAAAACAATGAAACGGGAATACGTAAATAAATAAATAATAAATAAATAAATAGTTTGATTTGCACCTGCTAGCTATTGATAAATTGTTCTTCGTAGCTGTGAGGCAGTAGTTTTTATTTATTATTTATGTATTTATTTATTTATTTACTTAGGCAAGAAGGTTTAAAGTTTTAATTATCATTATTATTGTTTTTTTTTTTTTTTTTTTTTTTTTTCCAAGTAGCGTACAATACGTAATATTTAAATAAGGATACCCTACGTAACCGCGCGCAGATTAGACTAACATTTCATAATACAAAATAATAAATAAACAAAATTGGCAATCGAATTAGGCTGTTCTAAATTTGCCGCTCTTATTTCCTTTGTTGCGACGAACTTTTGTTTCTTCTAAAATCGCGAACAATGTAAGTAGAAGCAGCCCTGCATTTACATTCAAATAGCTCCATTCAACAGGTTCAATGGACTGACCATGCTGCAGAAAAAGCAGCTTAGGACCCCATTTCCCTTTCTCAAATGCGTTAAGTCTCTTCCTGATCATTGTAAGCTATGACTGAGCGAACTAAAACTCTAAATTAAGTGAAGTAGCCTACTGTATTTCTTGAGTGTAACGAGCTGTTTGAATAGATCGTGCCTCATCAGTTTATCAGTGATCCCTGTCTAGTCTTGGAACACTTCGAGAGTGCGAAATAAAAATAAGAAACTCTGGACAAAGCTGCTACCTCATTTCCAGTATTTGTGAGCAGCGGAGGGGCACGGAGGATATTTTTACATACGGGACTGGAGAAGACTCAAAACAGACTTCATGATGTAAAACTCGTGGATCTGAGTCTCGAAAAAAGCATGCGCAGTGACAGGAAGAGCGCCTTAAATCAAGCAGAAGACGAGCTGCCAAACTACAGTCTATTAAAACAGACCTCGGGCATTGTGTTTTGTTTTCTCCATTGACTACAAAATTGTTGTTTGTCTAAGAATATTCTAGCGCGAGTCAGGCATTGCTCGTTATTACGCACACTTTACGCACGGCAGAAAGTCAACATGTCCTAGATATGTCGTTAAATGCAAATATTTTTTCAGGGTTTGCGCATGTCCTAAAAGAAGCTATTACACATTTCTACCGTTCTCTTCTACATCCACTGATAAACAAAGCATAATTTAAAAATAGAAATATCGACGATAATGACAAATCGTCTCAATATTTGTCTTAGAATTCTATTTACTTTCAGACATTTACACTAAAATAATTAATTTAATAAACAATGAGCAGAGTGATCTTTCTGGTGTTACCTCTTATAGCCATTTTGTTCCGTATCCCAGATCCCATTTATTTCAATGTCACACTTTTTTATGAAGTGGGCTATTTAAAAAAAGTGAGAGTTATACAAGACTTTTGGGTTGCACTGGGATTCAGGGTTGTAAATGTGTTAGCTTTTCCAATTTCTCTGTGTTTCAATTGTTAAAAAAACTGAAAATCACATGAGGTTATTGCATTTAAGTTTAAATTTCCACAGTCTTTCTATATCTCACATTATTCAACGTGTTTCTCTTTTCCTACAGTTTGAGGTGGTCACCCTACTTCTCTGTGGGACCTAAAGTTCTTTATTTTGTAACTTACGATCATAAAAGCTTTTCTCAGACACAAAAATGAAAGTTTTTCTGAGTTGTTTTTCAGATTTTCAGATCCGATGTCCCCACTCTCCGGTGTCTCTTGTAAAGCGGATGTTGTAAACCATGTCCAGACCGTCTATCCGAGCCCTTGAGGTTGGCAAAGACTTAATCCAGGTTCAAAGTGGGTTTTTTTCTGTTTTCTTCTACACAGTAACAGCTGTCTCAATCTGTCCCTTCACTCTGATATGAGACTCTCTCTCCGGTCGTTGGACACTTTACGAGGATGTCAGTCCTGCTCAGGTCACTCGGCCTTGGGACAGAGCCCACAGCCCCTTTATGGACGGGGCGTGTGGTGTGGAGAGGGCGCTGCTCAGAGTGTGGTGATGGAAACGTAACCCAGCACCAAAAATAAAGAGGAAAAAGGGGGATGACTGTTGACATACGGGAAGAGTTAACAAAGTAGATAATGTGTGTGCTTTAAGTGAATATTATAACAATTATAAAACAATAGCTAAAGATGTAGAAAAGAAAAAGGACACCAGAAGCCAGAATTATAGATTTGATTTATTGAATGCCTTTTGTCCTGGCTGATACAGGAGGTGGAGATTTATTAGCGGCAAAACAAGAAGAATTAAACAGACATGTAAATGCATAAGGGCACATAAGTGCAGCAGCTGAAAGAAAAGCACAATGAGGTTTTCCCTGTGTCAAGTAACCGGAAAAGTTTGTGTAAAGTGTAGCTGCTCAGAAAACAGACATTCAGTCCTATTTTCACTGTCTAATTTAATACACCACATAATATCCGACCTCCTCTCAAGTTCTGCATTTGAACAATGCAATATGGACACTTTACAGTGTAACTGAATCCTGTACAACACAGAGAGGAACTGGGAGTGACCTCTATAAATAAATACAGAATATACACAGGACACGCTGAAATCATTAGGGTCTGTAATAATTCAGGGTGTTTCTGTAATCAGCTGTTTTGATCCACAACATTTGCAGCTCATTTCCTGAGCACCACTGGTTTGAATTAAATTCATATGTCTGTCATGTGTCGCCCTGAGTGCGAGTGGTGCCTTGGTGGTAGTCACACATGCTTCATTCACACAGGGAGGGCAGGAGAGTGTGGCGTGGGGGCATCCTGCTGTGGGCGGGGCTTTTTACACGTGAGGGCGAGCAGCAGCAGCATGGGCAGGTGCCACAGACTGCAGAAGAACAGCTTGCGAGCACTGTTGCGGTCTCCTTTGCGGTAGAAGCGGAAGGCGAGGAAGCTGATGTACAGGTTTATGGGCAGAGAGATAATGGGGAAAGTCCATGTGGTGAGGTCGAGAACAGGAGCGATTGTGGACAGCCCTATGAGACCCACACTGTGACGCAGCGCCACCCGTTGGCACATGGCCGGGTGGGTGACGGACATCATGCGATAGCCCCCTCTGGAGTAGTCCTCCCTCAGGTTCCAGCTGAGGGCGTTGAAGTGGGGGAACTGCCAGCTGAACAAGAAGGCACCCAGCAACAAAGCACCTAGAGTTCAAAGAGAGCAATGATTAAAGAATCTTCTGTGTAATTACTGTTTCAGAGGCAGGAGGCAAACTGAGCTTTTAACTTATGATCAAGTGTACGCAGGACTTTGAAGTGTGCTTTTTTATATATTTCAACAAGAATAGAGCATAACTTTATATATCTCAGTTACTTTAAAAGCATAAAATGCACACGTAAACAAGTTAAAGGTGCACTATGAAACTTCTTTAAGGTGGAGGCTCTGCTACTTTCTTGTCTCCATGAAGATGTTATTTCTTTTCACAAAATGTTCCAGAGTATGACATTAAACATATCTGCATTGTATTTATTCAATAACAGCTGTTGTATAGCTCAAAAAATACCTAGAAAAACAAGAATTGTTACAATGTGCAGACTTGCTTCTCCACAGATCTGACCATTAACTTGTGATAACCAAGTTTATTTCCATACTGTGAAATACACAAGGCAAAGCAGTAACGCCTGCAAGAAGACAAGCAGGTAGTGGGCACTCCATCAGAAATGTTACACAATGCACCTTTAAAGGCATAATATACAAATATAAACAAGCTAAGCACAGACAGGGATTATATAGATTATATATATTTTTTAACGTCCCTCTGTGTCTCAAAGCTTTATTGGCCAGGACAGAAAAAACAGACATGGGAGAGAAGAGTGGTGAGACATTCAGTAAATTGTCTGAGGTGGAAATTAATCATATGAAGCTAAGGTTGGCAAAGTGCCCAGCACGTGTAACACAGTTCAAACCCCAAGGCTGTTATGCAAAAGAAATTGATATTTTCAGCTTTCGTCCATGCCAATACTTTTCTCCTTGATCTATAAAGCTATTGAAAATTACTTCCTTTATCCCATGGAGTCAATTCAAAGCACAGCGACCAATCTGATATTTTCTAAATTCATATAACAAGAACCTATGCCCAACACATGATATAAATCAGCCAAACCATTAAAAATAGGATATAGTGGTGACACTTCATAATATCTATACTTATTCATGCCTTAAAGCTACCATCTGTAAGTCAAGTTTGATTTTTTTTTTTTTTTCAGTAGATGGCGAATGTGAAACCCCTAACCTCACGGGGCCTAATCAGGTTTACCTTTGCTCTCTCTGCTTCTGTCCAGCCAAAGATGGAACAGTATCAGACAGAAGTAACATAGATAGCATCTAGTGGTGGTATGTGAGAATTCAACAGGGCTGGATCTAATTACAGATGGTAGCTTTAATAAAGACTTAATTCATAATGAAGAAAAGGCTTAGAGAATACTTACTAAGCCTGAATTATTCTAAACAAACCATTTGTTCATTATGAATTAAGTCTTTATTCATGCTTTATTAAGGCTAATTCAGTGTAGTTATTCTGAAGTGGTAAAGATATAGTCCTTCATTGATCATTAGTGGAGACTTACCAGGATCCAGAGTCCCTGTCGCTGCAGTCCAGCCCATGACGGGGGGTATGGCGCCCACCACAGCCC